CACAAATATAATGAAAGCATACCAAGAATACATTTAAAATAATTAAACTTGAAAATTAGAGAGACGGAGAAAACAAGTTTAGTAATCCTTGGTAAGGCATGAAATTATTTTTAAACTTTCAAATGGAAAAAGTATTAAAAAGAACCATCGCAAACCAATAGATAGAAGGCTCAGATTCATCTTTTGTCAATCACAAGAAGAAGATACCATACATCTTCCAACCTCTTGCTCAAATCCCATCGTAAGAGGTAGACATAGCTGCAGTGGTTGCCATGCTGGCCATCCAAACTGCCCCGCCATCATCCTCTCAGGATTGGAAAACAGAGCATTGAAGAGAGAAGGCAGAGTATTTGGGCTTCATACTTATGTATAAGTATCTGTGACTTGCCATCACCTTGGAGATATAATCTGAATCAAGGTTCGCAATACCGTACCGTACCGATATTTCGACCTGGGCTCGGTACCGGTACGATACGGTATACCGAGCGGTACACCCAGGTGTGCCGAGTACTGCTACAGTGCACTCGGACCGGTAAGACGCGGTTCGCGTACCGACAACCTGTCGGACCGGTACGTACCGCCCCTACCGGGCGGTACAGCTCGGTACGGCAGACCCTGATCTGAATCAATATCCAACGTGGTGATTGCTCAAATCCATCTTTGATACTTATTTATCATCATGGCCTCTTTATAATCCAAAAGCAAGACTTTGAAGAGTGAAGATGAAATTAATGCAGCAAAATGAAAAATTAAAACAAAAAACATCAAAACTTTTAAAGGCGAAAAACGAAAGGGAGGAAGAAAAGAAGTAATGCTCTTGAACATACTATTTCCCTCTTGAAAGTATTATTTCTTTCCCCACCCCAAAATTGACGTCAAATCCCCAAAACGTTTCAAACTAGAGATAATCAGTTAGCAAAGGTTAAATATCAGACTCTAATAGCTTAGCATTATGCTTGTGATGCGAAAAAAGTTGAAAGCAACTTTCCATGGCAGCTATCCACAATTTCAACAAAATTAACAATCGAAAATAAGACTTGAAAAAACCAGAGAACAATATATTGTCTAGAGCTTGCATCATCGAATATCATACAATCCCCCTGTTGAACTATAAAAAGAAAGTGGTCAAACTATCAGCAACACAATTCCAAGCTCTGCGCGTTGTATAAAGCATCATTGATAATGGGCATATCATCCCAACCATCGACAACATACATATATGAATGATAGCAAAAAAGCAAACCATAAGAAACACATTATTTGAGAAATCAACTGGCCCAACAACTAGATAAAGTATGTCTCGTTGCATCTAGCAATAATGATATACCCAAACCTGAAAATGCTTCATATTAATAAATCCATGACAAAAGTCAGCAGATAACTTTATCCCATGCAAAAGTCATTCAAATAAGAAATCACAAATCCATCTAGATTTTGCTACCTCTCAAGTTCCCACCAAAGAATTGTAGTCATCCAAAATTTAATCACAGATTTCAAATAAATACAAAATGGAGCCTTTAGACTTTCTTTTACCAGACCAACTATCTCATTGCAATATTTTTTTCCTCAAAATGATTTTTAACAGCATGATATTAATCCTTTAAAGTACTTAAAATGTTAAAATAAAGAAATCTTGAAGATAACATTTAAACATTTCATCAGAAGCTTCAAGTGATCCAAATATCAAAATAAATAAAGCTTGATTAAAATATGAAAGCATTCCAAACAAGCAAACATTTAAAAATGTGAAATGAATACTAAAAATGTAATCAAATTAACATAACATTTATGTTACAAATAAATATAGTTTTTTTGTCTCCATCAAAAAAATTCTCAGAAAAATTAATGACTTAAACAAATATAATGAAAGCATACCAAGAATACATTTAAAATAATTAATCTTGAAAATTAGAGAGACCAAGAGACAACAAGTTTAGTGATCCTTGGTTAGGCATGAAATTATTTTTAAACTTTCAAATGGAAAAAGTATTAAAAAGAACCATCGCAAACCAATAGATAGAAGGCTCAGATTCATCATTTGTCAATCACAAGAAGAAGAGACCGTACATCTTCCAACCTCTTACTCAAATCCCATCGTAAGAGGAAGACATAGCTGCAGTGGTTGCCATGCTGGCCATCCAAACTGCCCCGCCATCATCCTCTCAGGATTGGAAAAAAGAGCATTGAAGAGAGAAGGCAGAGTATTTGGGCTTCATACTTATGTATAAGTATCTGTGACTTGCCATCACCTTGGAGATATAATCTGAATCAAGGTTCGCAATACCGTACCGTACCGATATTTCGACCTGGGCTCGGTACCGGTACGATACGGTATACCGAGCGGTACACCCAGGTGTGCCGAGTACTGCTACAGTGCACTGCTACAGTGCACTCGGACCGGTAAGACGCGGTTCGCGTACCGACAACCTGTCGGATCGGTACGTACCGCCCCTACCGGGCGGTACAGCTCGGTACGGCAGACCCTGATCTGAATCAATATCCAACGTGGTGATTGCTCAAATCCATCTTTGATACTTATTTATCATCATGGCCTCTTTATAATCCAAAAGCAAGACTTTGAAGAGTGAAGATGAAATTAATGCAGCAAAATGAAAAATTAATACAAAAAACATCAAAACTTTTAAAGGCGAAAAACGAAAGGGAGGGTGAAAAGAAGTAATGCTCTTGAACATACTATTTCCCTCTTGAAAGTATTATTTCTTTCCCCACCCCAAAATTGACGTCAAATCCCCAAAACGTTTCAAACTAGAGATAATCAGTTAGCAAAGGTTAAATATCATACTCTAATAGCTAAGCATTATGCTTGTGATGCGAAAAAAGTTGAAAGCAACTTTCCATGGCAGCTATCCACAATTTCAACAAAATTAACAATCGAAAATAAGACTTGAAAAAACCAGAGAACAATATATTGTCTAGAGCTTGCATCACCTAATATCATACAATCCCCCTGTTGAACTATAAAAAGAAAGTGGTCAAACTATCAGCAACACAATTCCAAGCACTGCAAGTTGTATAAAGCATCATTGATAATGGGCATATCATCCCAACCATCGACAACATACGAATATGAATGATAGCAAAATAGCAAACCATAAGAAACACATTATTTGAGAAATCAACTGCCCAACAACTAGATAAAGTATGTCTCGTTGCATCTAGCAATAATGATATACCCAAACCTGAAAATGCTTCATATTAATAAATCCATGACAAAAGTCGA